ATAATAATAATAATAATAATAATAATAATAATAATAAGCTGGAGAGATGGCTCAGCAGTTAAGAACACTGCTTGTTCTTGCAGAAGACCCAGGTTCAAATCCCAGCACCATGTGGCAGCTAACAACTGTATAACTCCAGTTCCAGAGGATCTGACAGCCTCCTCTATCCTCCGTGGGCACTGCATGACACGGGTGCACTTACCCACACGCAGGCAATACATGCATATGCATAAAATAAAAGTAATAAAAAAAAATTTAAATAATAAATAAAATAAAGTTTTGTGTGTTAAATTTCTGAGAAAATGTCAAAGCTGCTAAAAAGCAAAATCTCAAAATGAAAGAAGCAAAATTACAAATCCATGATTCTGAACTCCTTTGCTTTCTTGGCAAATAACTTACCCTATATTAGTTCAGTGATTCTTATGGGCTACTTTACAGATATGCAGGAGTTCATGTGTATGTGTGAAACATGGAAACATTTCCCACATAATAGAGAATCACTATTACTAAAATTGGATGTGTAACTTATACTTTTGGGGGTTCTTTTTGAGCCAAGGTCTCATTCTGTAGCCCAGGCCAGCCTCAAACTGTGGTACTTTCCTGGATCTGATTCTTAAGTGCTGGTATTATAGCAATGTGCCAACCCAGGGCCATGGCTTATACTTTTAACAAACAGCAAATTAAAATGACATAAAATTTAAAGATGTGTGGTAGCACACACTTGTAATCCTAGTGTTCAATAAGTGGAGGTAGAAGGATTAGAAGTTTAAGGCCGTCTTTGACTACTGTCTTTGTTTCTTTTTCTGTTGTGATAAAATATCCTGACAAAAGCAAATTAAAGAAAGAAGGGTTTACTCTAGTTCAAGGTACAGCCTTTCATTCTGAGGAAGTCAAGGCAGCAGGAGCTTGAAAAGCAACTGGTCAAATTACACCCAGAATTAGGAAGCAAAGAAGGATGAATGCATGCATGCTGGGACTCAGCTCACTTTTCACCTTAAACAGTCCAGGGTCCCTTGTTCAGGGAACAGACCCACACACTCAAAACAGGTCTTCCCATCAACTGATGTAATCAAGATAATCCCCCACAGATGTCTGTTTTCCAGGTGAATCTAGAGTCTGTCAAGTTGACAATTAACTCTAACCATTACAACTACTTAGTGAGTTTGAGGCCAGTCTGGGCTATATTAACAACCTGTCTCAAAAAATTAATAAATAAACAAACTGTAGAGTTACTAAACATACATTTTAGTATACGTATATTCCATAATGAATTTGGGAGATTTCATTTGTGTGTGAATGTTTGTGTGTTGTGGGGAGGGGGTGCAAGTACATGTCTACAGAGGGCAGCCTTGGGTGTTGTTTCTCAGGAGCTATACATCTTGATTGTTTTCTCTACCCCACCCCCCTCTTTGACAGGGTCCCTTACTGGCCTGCTGCACTCCAAGTAGGCTAGGCTGGCTAGCAAGGGTGTCCCAGGGATCTACCTGTTTCAATTTCCCCAGTGATGGGACTGGACTACAAGTGTGTGCCACCTTGCCTGTTTTTTTTTTTTTCTTTTTGGTCTTTTTGAGACAGGGTCTCCCTGTAACCCCAACTGGCCTGGATTCCCTATGGAGACCAGACTAGCCTCGAACTCATAGAGATCCACCTGCCTCTGCCTCCCAAGTGCTGGGATTAAAGGTGTGCGCCACCACGCCTGGCACCTGATGTTTTTTATGTGAGATCTGGGTGTTGAACTGAGTCCTCAAGTTTGTATGACAATCACTATACTGACCAAGCTGTCTCCCTAGTCCTAATTTGAGTTCTAAAGTCATAGAAATTTGGCATTAGAAAGGACTTCCAAATCCCATGTGGCACAAATCTGTAATTTTATTTATTTGGAATCTAAAGCTTGGTATTAAATGTTTTCCAGAAACACTGCAACACTGACAAAGACAGTACTGAAACCAAGGATGCGAGAATTCCTATTTAGTGGCTTTTCAATTATGATCTTACCTGGTCTGGCTCTAGCTGAATAGCCCTGTCGTAACAGGCGGTGGCATCCCTCAGCAAGCCAATACTTTCATGTTCAAGGATCTGTTCCTTCAGAGATGGCTCTGCTTTTCGAATTGCACTTACTCCAGCCACTCCATCTGGTTCATGCATAGCAGCATACAATTTCTTTGTTCAATCATTAAAAAACAAACAAACGGGGGGGGGGAAACCATAACCAAAGATAAAGCTAAAACTACCAGCATACATGGAAATAGCATAGGAGAAATTTTTACTGAAAGTAAGACTAAGTATTTGTTTCAAGGCAGAATCACAGTAAAATGACAAACTATTCCCAGGCATTCTTCACCTTAACACTTTAATTCCATCAAAATACAAATGTATATTAGTAACTATTTCTAATCATAGGACAGCAAAGAGACTCAAAGTCCTTTAAGTCTTTAAATTCAACTGAAAATTGTTCCTGCACAGTATAATTTGTAAATATTTACTGCACGTCAAATGTTTTCAAATTTTAAGTAAACATTTTAATTCATTGGTATTGAGAAAACTTCAACAAACTTAAAATATCCATAATCTGAGCATGGCTAGATATGAAGGTGCACACCTTAATCCCAGCACTTGGGAGGCAGAGGCAGGAGGATAAGGCCACAGATTGAGTTTGAGACCAGCTTGGGTTACATGAGACCCTGTCTCAGAAAGCAAAACAAAAACACAAACCACCACCAACAACAATCCATCCTGGGCTTAAAGGAGATAGTCAGACTAAAGATGAAAATCTAGGAAGGAACTAGCATGAAGACATTCTTCAGAGGCAGAGAAAATACAGTGGACATAGAGAAAAGAAAGGAAGCTAAAGGTAGATGTTAGAGTTTCTACATGCAAAGAAGCAATGGCAAATGGAACTGTAGGAGAAACCAGAGAAATTGGAATGGTAGGGAATAAAATATTCCTGAAGCCATGGGAGAAAAGCAAATGTCTTCAAAATCCAACACAACACAATACAAAACAAAACAAAACAAAACTTTTTGGTGTTCTGAGACAGGGTTATATGTAGACTAAGCTGGCTACCTCTCAAGTGCTGAGATTACAGGTCTATACCACCACATCTGGCTGAGAGCAAGTCTTAATAAGAAAGGAATGGTGGGTCAAGTGATACTGTGATCTTAAGAAAATAAGGATTATGGGGGCTGGAGAGACGGCTTAGCAGTTAAGAGCACTGGCTTCTCGGGGCTAGAGAGATGGCTCAGCAGTTAAGAACACCGTTCTTGCAGAAGACCTAGGTTTGAATCCCAGCACCCATGTGGCAGCTAACAATGTCCATAACTCCAGTTCCAGGGGCTCTGACTGTCTCATCTGTCTTCTGCAGGCATTGCACGACATGGGTGTACTTACCTACATGCAGGCAATACACGCATACACATAAAATAAAAATAATAAATAAAATGTTAAAAAAAAAAAAGAGCACTAGCTTCTCTTGCAGAGGACTAGCTTCTCTTCAAGTCCCAGCACCCACACGGCAGCTAATAACCATTCATTAACTCCAGTTCCAGGAGAATTTGATGCCCTCATCTGATTTCCACAAGCATGGTATGACATGGGTGCACTTTCATACATGCAGGCAATAAACTCACACACATAAAATAAAAATAATAAATATAAAAAGAAAGTAAGGACTATGCAACAGATAGTGATTAGCACAGAAACCAAAAACTGGTCAATGTACAGAGAAGGAGTAAGAGGAAGGAGGATGAGGCAGCAAGGATGCTTATCCCTGAATAGGGCACCTATATCAAACTTCTGCCCTCCAAGGCTCAGGGGTTATTGCAGAAGAGGAGGGTGGAAAAATTTTAAGAGTCAGGGGTGGTGGATGACCACAGGGAAACAGTTTTCCAGACAGTCTATCAGTTGTTCATATGAACTCACACTAATGGTGACAGCAAGCACAAGTCCCATGCAAACTCAAACCGGAAAAAAATCTTAGCACAGACATGAAGAAGTGGGTAAGAAACCCCAACCCCATGGCTCAGGGGTTAAGAGCACTGGCTGCTCTTACAGAAGATCCAGGTTCAATTCCTAGCACCCAAAGGGTGGCTAGCAACCATCTGTAACTCCAGTTACAGGGGAATCTGATTCTCTCTCCTGGCCTTTGCGGGCATTGCATAACACAGCTGCACTTACATGCAGGCTATATACTCATACACATAAGATAAAAATAATAATTTTTTTTTTTAAAAAAAGAAACTCCAACCCACCTAAGGAAATTGTGGCAACAGGTGACTGCTTTCAGAATGGAACTCAGTAGGTTAACCAGGCTCCAGTGGATGGACCCATACTGAAGGACATTTGGGGACACAAATTAGATGCTATAGGCCTTATTGTGTGTGTGTGTGTGTGTACATTAAATTGGGGGGGGCAATAAGAGGAGGTGGGTATGGGGAGGGGATCTAAATACCATCAAATAATACTGCATGAAAATTGCAAAATTTTAATTAAAAAATAAAAAGAAAAGGACTGGGAAACACTCATTGAACTTGGTAACATGGAAACTATGGATCTTTTTAGCAAGAATAACATCAAGGGGCTGGGGAGATGACTCTTAGGGTAAAGGCACTTACTGCCAAGCTTGACAGCCTAAGTTTGATCCCCAGAATCCACATGATGGAAGGAGACAACCAACTCCAGCAAGTTGTCCTCTGACCTCCATAGGCACCCAATGGCAGGAGTGTGAACCCACCCACCCACATAAGCATACCTACACATGAAGAAAGAAATGTAATAGAATTTTGAAAAAGAGTAGCATCAAGGGACAGATGGGTATAGAGGCACACTGCGGCATCCAGTACTTGAAAGGCAAAAAATGGAGGATCGGGAGCTCAAGGTCATCCTTGGCTACATTATGAGCTAGTTTGGCCTGGGTTGCATGAAACCTTGTCTCAAAACACCCAGTGAAGTAGCACATACCTTTAATCCCAGCACTCCCCAGTCAGAGGCAGGTAGATCTCTGTGACATTGAGGTCACCCTGGTTTACCTAGCCAGTTCTAGACCACCTGGGGCTACAGGAAGACTATCTCAAAACAAACAAAAAAACCCAAGCAACCAACTAACCAACCAATGAACCAAAACAGTAAAAAGAAAAGAAAGAAAGGGAGAGGTCTTGTTTTAAAAAAAGGAGTGAATGGGAAACAAAGATGATGATGCAGGGAAGACAGATGTTGACTATGAAAGAAATGAGATAAGATGTGACTGAAGGAAAATGTAACATCAAGGGAAATACAAAAGAATTAAGACATAGACTGTAGAGAGATGGCTTAGTGGTTAAGAGCACTGGCTGTGCTTGCAGAGGATCTGGGTTCAGTTTCCTACACCTACATGGCAGCTAACAACCCTCTGTAACTCCAGGTCTTAGTAAGGGATCCAACATCCTCTTCTGACTCTGTAGGCATTGCATGCACATGGTGCACTTAAATACATTCAGGCAAAACACTAATACACATAAACATAAATTTAAAAAATTTTAAATTAAGACATAATTAAGATTTATTCAAAAATTAACCAGACCCCCCCCCCACCAAACACATTCTAAATACTCTGGATCATGAAGAAAAATTAATGATACTAAAGAAAGGAAATTTTGAAGGAGCAAAATTCTTGAAGAACATAGTATAAAGACTGGATTTTGACAGAAGAGGGCCTTCCCTAGAAGTAAGAGAACAAAAAAGAATTTGGTGAGATTGAGATAGAAACAGTGAAAGGTATAAAAATAGTCATCTTTGAAGAGAGGGAAAGTCAGCTCATTAGAGAAATACAAAAGAACCAGAGGCATTATTAAAGAACACTGCAGTGTTAAAGATGTTTGAGATCAAGAACTTAAAGTGAACCTCAGCTATTAAAATTATTGTGTAAGTTCTCTCCAGCAATGTCAGAGTATACTGGGAAGCCAGATGAGTGACTTGATATGGGGCTGAAAGTTTTCGATATGAATTCAAAACAATGGGAGGAAAAACACAGGAATGGAACATGCTTGTGAGGATTCATTTTAACAATAAACCACAGATCCAAAGAACACAAGAAGGCACACAAAACCAGAAAGGGGCTAAAATTCATACTATCACAAGTCACTAATTTTCCAGGAATTTTTTTCTCTTAAAGACATGAAAGTCCAAGGTGGCAGACAATACTCCTGCCTTAGTCTCCTGAGTGCTGGGATTATAGGTTTGGGCCATCATGACTGGCATATTTTTCTTTGTTTTTCTGTGGTGCTAGGGATCAAACCCAGGGCCTTGCACATGCTAGGCAAGTGCTTTACCACTGAGCTATCCATTTAGCCCATTTTCTAGTTCTTTTACCACACTTTTGATGTAAAAGTCCACCAATCTTGATCTAAATTATTTAATTCCATTGACCTAGCTCCACATGCTTTTTCTTTTGTCTCCTAAACCTTTGTTTCACCAGCATTTTCACATTTCCTTGTTTACTCACCCCAAACTAAGACCTTGACTTCCCCCAAGGAGAAGAGTAATGTCTTGAATCATAGACCTCTATACTCTTCCTCTTCAACTGCCACAGACATTTAGCTAAAATGCCATAATCTTCCCTAGTTCACAAAGACTAAGAAGCTTGGGTAACTTAAAAAGTTCTCTAGGATATATGATCTTCCATTTGCCATTCTAAAACTGATATTTTACTGTTTCTATACACCATGTTCTTTCCCAACTCCAGGGAGATGTCTCCACTGACTATCACTGATTATGGAGGACATCTTTTCCAGGAAGCTAACTCTGAGATCCCTTGTTTTCCAACTTTTTCCCCCACTCCATTCCACATAGAGGATGAGTGTAGTCTCCTTCGGGACAAATCTGCATCACTAGACTTAACATATTATCTCTTCCCATGATCTGTAAACATGCAAAGAACTGCAAATATTTAGTACCTAGACAGCATCTAAAATAGGAAAAAACTGAACAATGTCACCACAAATGACTGTCAATATAAATTCACTATATTAATTTCAAACCTGTAGAAATCCAAGATGCTTTTGAATATTTTGCTTCTTTTCTGTAATAAATGACTCAAAGTGCATTACAGCTCGTGTGTATGCTTTAGAGCGAAAGGAAGCTACAGCCAGCGTATCCTGAGGTATGAGGTCTAGAAAACGAGTGACACTCTGATAGTCTTCAAAATCCACACCTGATACTATATCATAAAAAATTAAAAAAAAAATAGAGTAGTTAAAAACTGTTAGCTGAAAATTTAAAAGTATCAGATGAAGCATTTAACTTTGTTTTTTCATTAAATAATATAAACGCACTATGGTATAATATTTAGGCTTTAACTAAGAGCAAGATTATTGCTCAGAGGGTTTTCTTCCAACTCCATCATTATCATATACTTTACTCCAGACATTATTTAACTCATTGAACCTATTTCTCATTCATAAAACAGAAAAAATGGTATCTTTCTTGCCTTCTTTACACTATAAGATTAAATAGAAAGCTATTATTATAAGGTAAAAAAGATATATGGACAGCAGGGAGGGTGGCGCACGTCTTTAATCCTAGCACTTGGGAAGCAGAGGCAGGCAGATCCCTGAGTTCAAGGCCAGCCTGGTCTACTTAGCTAGTTCTAGGCCAGCTGGGGCCACAGGGACAAAGATACAAAAATGTAATTTGTTACTGGCTATAAAATACTGATAGAATTGTAACTATTTAGTAAAGAAAGTACAGAATTATGGAAAAACAGAATTTTATCCCTTCTCCTTGACCCCCAGAATAATGACAATTGAATCCTGGGCTTTGCACAAAGTAAATGTTCTGAGCTATTTTCCTTGTCTCCAAGTGTTATTCTTCTGACCTCGACCTACCTACCTACCTACCTTCCTACCTTCCTTCCTTCCTTCCTTCCTTCCTTCCTTCCTTCCTTCCTTCCTTCCTCCCTCCCTCCCTCCCTCCCTCCCCTTTTCCCTTCCCTTTTCCCTTCCCTCCCTCCCTCTCTCCCTCCCTTCCTTCCTTTTTTTCTTTGTTTTTGAGGCAGGGTCTCTGTGTAGTCCCAGCTGGCCTAGAACTCCATATGTAGGCCAGGGTGGCCTTGATCTCACAGAGATCCTTGTGCCTCTGTTTCCAAAGTGCTGAAAGGACAGAATCTTAATTGCAGGGTTTGTGCAAATGATTAACAGTACCATTTTCAGAACCAAAACTAGGAATAAAAAGTTTAATTTCCAATTAATGGAAAATATACTATATAGCCACATTCTGCACAAAACTTTCTTACAAATAGGTAATTATTTGCAAATACAGAAAAAAATGTATAACAATAACCTATTGTGCTTAATATGGATATGGATAAAAATAGGGAGATGCTCACAAACTGACAATTTTCTAAGTGAAAGACTCTTTAGTGATTATCAGATTGTCAATTTTTTTCAATTACCCCAAAGCCTAGTGGGAAAAACGTGTGATATTCACAAGAAAGGCTGAGGTATAAAGAAGCAGTAGAACTGTAACCATCTACTTACTGCAAGAACAACAAAAAAGGGGTTCAAAACATGACAAATATAATTCTCACCAAATGCTTACATTCCATCACAAGGGCCAATTAGCAAATTTCATTCTAATGAGATTCATCTAACTCTAATGAGATTCTTTTTTCAGTCATGCTAGCAAAAACCATAATATCACATAAACAAAATTGTATGACAGTAGCTATTGCATGGTATAGTACAGCAACATGTAGTAAGGATGTCTGGAAAGCCTGTTGAATCCCGAACACTATTGTAGCCTGGTCAAATAAATAAGAATAGCTTTTCTCTGGGGCATGAAATGAACTCAAATAAAAATCTTCTTTAAAATTTAAAACTTAAATGTGAAAAAGACATACATAAAATAACATAATTCACTAAGGGCACAAGGATTAAATGAATTAACAGCAGGGGATAGGTCA